ACACGGGGTGACCGGGGCTGGCCATCAAGGTGGGGACAGCAGGACGGGGGGGGGTGACAGCAGGACAGGGGGTGACACAGCGGGCTGGCCCCGGTGACAGCAGGAGGGGAGGTGACAGGAGCACAGGGGGGTGACACTGCCAGCCCCGGGTGACAGGAGCACGGGGGGGTGACACTGCCAGCCCCGGGTGACACAGCCAGCCCCGGTGACAGGAGCACAGGGAGGTGACACAGCAGGACAGGGGGTGACACTGCCAGCCCCAGGTGACACAGCCAGCCCCAGTGACAGCAGCACAGGGAGGTGACACTGCCAGCCCTGGTGACAGCAGGACAGGGAGGTGACAGCAGGACAGGGAGGTGACAGGAGCACAGGGAGGTGACACAGCCAGCCCCAGGTGACAGCAGCACAGGGAGGTGACAGGAGCACAGGGGGGTGACACAGCCAGCCCCAGGTGACACAGCCAGCCCCGGTGACAGCAGCACAGGGAGGTGACACTGCCAGCCCTGGTGACAGCAGCACAGGAGGGTGACAGGGCCAGCCCCGGTGCCAGCCCCGGTGACAGCAGCACAGGGGGGTGACACAGCCAGCTCCGGTGACAGCAGCACAGGGAGGTGACACAGCCAGCCCCGGTGACAGCAGCACAGGGAGGTGACAGCCAGCCCCGGTGACAGCAGCACAGGGGGGGTGACAGGGCCAGCCCCGGTGACAGCAGCACAGGGGGGTGACAGGGCCAGCCCCAGTGACAGCCCCGGTGCCAGACCCAGTGACAGCCCCGGTGCCAGCCCCGGTGACAGCCCCGGTGACAGCCCCGGTGCCAGACCCGGTGACAGCCCCGGTGCCAGCCCCGGTGCCAGCCCCGGTGACAGCCGTGTCCCCGCAGCTGCTGGAGTACGAGCCCCGCTCCGGGGAGCAGGTGCCGCTGCTGCTGAAAATGAAACGCAGCAAACTGGCCCTGGGCAAAGCCATCGAGAGCGGGGACACCGACCTGGGTGAGGGGACAGCGGGGACACCGCGGGATGGGGAACTGGGAACGGGCTGGGGGAACTGGGAACGGGCTGGGGGAACTGGGAATGGGCTGGGGGAACTGGGAATGAGCTGGGGG